TAGAGGGGTCGAAATTATATCATAAACATATTAAAATAAATATAACTGCAGACTGTACGGGTAGCAAAATCGATCATTCCAGTCGCTTAGGAAAGAATTTGGTTCTAGAAATTAGTAGAAATGAAAGAAAAAGATAAATGATACTGTTAAGACTGCTTTTGAATTAGGGCGCTTTTCTCTTTGGTTGTTTTTCAGATCCTTTTATTTCATCCTGTAATTTGTGCACTCTCTAGGTCTTCCCCGCACCAGGAGACAATCCTATGGATATTTATACAATAAGGATTCCGCCAAGGGTTGTATATGCCTACTGACCTGCCATTTATTAAGGACTGATTGACCTATGGGTGTCTCTCCTTTCAAAAAGCTCAGTTATGGCACCTGTGACTAAAACATATTTTTAAGAATAAAATGGGTATGAAGGGGAGCAGGAAAGCATTTTACTTAACCGATGGGCAGCGGAGTCCAGTATTCTCACCTTATGTTTTTGTATGGGGGGAGGTTTGTACCCGAGGGTCCACTTAAAACATGTATGCTAAATGATCTGCCCCCTTTTTAAAATAAAGCTGCCTCTCCTGCTTTCAAAATGACTAGACAGACAGACTGTGCTGTTTATCGATAGTATATGAAATGTAGCGGTCATAATAAATAAGCAGTTAGGGTTCCCCCCCTTTCCTCTTTCTTTCTTTCTTTCTTTCTTTCTCTCTCTCTCTCTCTCTCTCTCTCCCCTGTTGTTGTGATATGTGCGTGTATGTATGAAAGAGAGAAAAGCAGCATAGACAGCTAGGCAGAGAGAGAGAGAGAGTGTCATCAATTTCATCTAGAAAAGATCTTCAAGTGGGATCCCCTGGCTCTATGGCTCTTCGCTGACAGCTGTAGGGATCGCTCTGTCATTCACTTCAGGCTCACACCTTCCCTATGTACACACACACACACACACACACACCAGCTGGTCATTTCCCCCGTCCTCCTCCTCCTGATCTCCACCTTCCCTACACGTTCACACTACACACTGAACCACTCCTGCTGTACATCCCTCCTCCCCCTCAACACATACATATAACTGCTTTTTTCACACTCCCTCTAGTGCACCTCCCTTGGTGTCCTCACTCACACACAGGACGCCTTCCCACACATAATCAACCCCATTCATGTGGCTCCCCCACATACTCAAAATCATCCACCTGTGCCCCTTCCTGAACCCCTATTCCTGGGGTCCCACCTGACATACACAATCATCCCGTCCCTGCACTCACTCTACTCCCTCCCTCCCTTCTGGCTCCCTCCTGCTACACATACACACACACACACAATTACCCTATAGTGAACCCCTGCGCCCCTCCCCCTCACACCCCTCGTCTCTCTCTCACGGTGTCACATGCTCACAATCTCTCCCACTCTTCACTCCTCCCCTCCATACTTATTGCAGTCACACAACTCATCACCACGACCCCCCAAAACACAAAATGACTCCCCCATACACAGTTAATCCACTTCCACACACGTTATAACCCCCACAAAGCTCCACCCGTCCCTTTCACACACATATATGAAACCAATCTAGACAAACAGTGCCCCATCAGTCGCACAAGGACCCACAATCACAATGTCACATGCACACACAAGGCTCCTCCGCTCATACATCCCCCCTTTCGAGTCCTAGACACAAGAGAAAGCGATACAATAACACACACATTCATCCGTTTCCCTTCACGTACACACAGTAACCTCCTACTGCTCTGTCTCATTCAGACACACAAAATTACCCCGTTTTTCTCTCTCGCACACAATGTCCCATACACAATGACGCTATCATACAAGCACTATAGTAAGTTGACACCCCCGAGTGATCCCCTCTCTTACCCACACAGACCCCCCCCCCATCCCCAAACCCACACACTGACCCCACAAAAACACACGGCTGCTGTCTCTCTCCCACACACGCACAGACATACCAATCACACACATTTCTTCTCTCTCCCCACCCCACATACAGATGATCCACAATCTCACATACACTGACCCTCACACATTACACCCCCCCCACACACACACAGAGACCCACAGTCACACACACACTGACACCCCACAGAGCCACAGTCACAAACGCACTGACACCCGCAACAGACCCACGGCACAGTCACACACACTGACACCCCCCACCCCGCCCACACACACACTAACTCCCTCAGACTGGCCCACAGTCACGCGCACTGTTCTCCGCCCCCCACCCACAGTCACATACACACACTCACTGCCCCCACACGCAGACAGACCCTCCAGTCACGCACACACACAGACCCACAGACGCCTCCCCCCTTCGAACACGAGTGGGAGAGGGCTGGGGGCTGCGGACAGAGGGAGGGAGGCAGGGGACTCCGTGACGGTAGCCGGGCAGCAGCGGGAGCTGCGGGGGTCTGTCCCGCCTGGGAAGCAGCGGGGTGGGTAGGGAAATCTTTTCTCTGTCCCCGGCTGCAGGGAGTGGAGGAGCCGGTCAGCCGGGCGGGGCGGGGCGAGCGGAGGAGCCCGGGCAGGGTGGGGCTGCCTCGGGTGCTGAAGCCTGAGCACCGGGGCCGGTACGTGCGGAGCAGCGGCTCAATGCGGTACAATAAATTAATGCTGGATAAGAGGAAAGGGCGTTAATTGGACCCTGCGCTGCTGTGTCTGGACGCTCCATGCCCGGGCTGGGGCTGCTCTGCTGGGGCTTGCCTGGGGTTGCCATCTCCTGGGGTGACACGTTTCCAGCAGGCGCTACCCAGTGTCTCTGATCGTCCAACGGCATTGCCGAGGGCTGGCACCGACTAGGGGGATAACAAAGGCCGGAGACAGCCTCGCTGGTGCCTGCCTGCTCTGCATTGCGTGGTGCTCGCAGTAGGTGACTGGCGATTAGTCGCTGCCGCTGCTGTCCATGAAGTTTCCAGTCCCCCTGCTCCCCTTGGGTACTGGTTCCTCTGGGGAACAACAAGCAAACATCGTTGAAGTTGAGAAGCGGCAAACAAAATGTAAGGGAGGGGGGCACTTAGCGGCTCAGCACACGCCGGGCGCGTGGGGCTGTGGGGTGTGAGCGCCCCGGGAAAGGGTCCGCTTGGGCAGCTTTGTGCTCCGGGGCCACACACCCAAAAGCCATAGGGAAGGCTTAGCACGGGCTGTAGAGCCGAAATTCCCTCTGCCTGGCGGCTCCGGCTCACAGCTAGAATGGAGGAGGGCGGGGGAAGAGGAGTGCTCATTGGCGAGCCCTTAAAGCTGAGGGAGCGATTAGCAAATACGCATCTGCCGGGAAACATATAAGTAGGAGTTGGGGAGCGGAGAAATATGGGGGACACTTCTTTTAACGCTCCTGAAATGCTTTGGCTTGAGAAAGCTCTTCGGAGGAACAGCCTGGATTGTGGCAAATACATTGTTTATTTTTTTTAAAATGTGGGGGAGGTGTCCCTCTTAAATAGGGATAATTGGGCATCTATGCAAAATATTGTACCCTAGCCCAGAAGGATTAAACACCTGATATTAGCTGAACTGTGATGTGCATAATGTCAACAGCATAGCTGATGCCATTCGGATTTTTCCCTGCCGTAACATAATTTTAGCAGCAAAAGAGGTCAGATGGCAGAGAAAAATATAGTTTGAAATTTTCAGAACATCTTCTAAGAAACCATTATAATTCTGCCTCACCCTGTGAAAATAATGCCATATAAATTCAAACCAGCTGACCCCTGCAGGGTGTTTGATCCACTTTACATGTTCTTAAACATACTGGAAATAATCAGAACCAGGCTAGGTGGCATGGTGTGCATTAATATTGCTCTATAGTGTCACAGATGCAGATAGTCTATTAAATGAATTAAGTTAAAGGGAAACTCAGGTATCAATAAGAATAATTAATGCCTTTTAACAGCCCTTTCATTTTGAGCATAAGAAGTCCCACAAAAATGAAATCTGGTACCAAAAGGTTTCAATGTTTGAAACAGTAAGTAGCAATCTTTATACAGTTAGTAGCAAAAAAAAGCTTATTTTAGCATAAGGTTTAGGTTTAGTATAACAAGATATAAATTCTCAGTACCTCCAAATGTATTTACAAGTTTCTTTTCCCTACTTTAAACAATGGTTCAAGTTAAGCATAAACTCAGATAAATTATTAGTCATGTGGTTTAAATGTTTGTAGGATATAATTTGATATTGGTTTGTTTTAATTCTTTGCAGATTAAAAAAACCACAAAAACCTTGGAACATAGTTTTGGCCTTGTACAGGAGAACAGAAGAGAAGCTGTCATGCTTTGCATGTCAAGTAGCTACTGAGCTGCTTGACAGCTTCTGGATTCCAGCTCCACTGGGAATGAGGCAGCACAGGAAACCATGAGCAATAAGTCCTGTGGTCTGCTTCTGCTGCTATAACACCATGGCAGGCAGTCCATGATCCAACAGGAGGATCTGTCCTAGGAAGGCAGCTCTGGAATTGGTAATTTATTCCCTGAGAAAGGAGAGGAAAAACCCTTGGGAAAATACAGTTGGTGGATAACATGTAAAAAGAAGTCCACACACATTGGGATACTGATGCATTCTTGCTGGGTTTGTGGATCCACTTGGAGAAGGGTTTTTTGACATTTCCCCTCCCCACTCCAAAGTTGGTAATGTGGGTTTTTGGTAAAATTTCTGCTGACTCATACATCCCTAGACACCTCTTGAGAAACCACGTTGATAAGTGAGTAAGCCTATTGGTGTCTTCTTTTTTGCTGAAGATCTCTTGCACTTCAGCCAAGATTGACCACCCAACACGTGGGTCATCCTTTGTAGGGGATCCCAGCTTACACGTGCATCTTGGGCACTCACAACCTGGGCCTCTCATACTAGGGAGGCATTTACATTAACCACAGTGTAAAGGGGAAATAAGAGTGAGTCAACGGTCTAGTGTGAGAGGTGACTGGAAAGATTTTACCCTGTCTGCTCCAGCCCCCCCACCACCTCTCCCCCCTCCACGCCCCCCTCTCCCCCACCCAACCCCACGAAGCATGGGGGCTGTGCTCCTCAAGCGTGGGGGCTGTCTCCTGCTGTGGCTGGCTCTGCTGCTGAGCTGCTGGGCTGAGCTTGGCAGTGGTCTGGAGTTCCCAGGGGCTGAGGGCCAATGGACCCGCTTTCCCAAGTGGAATGCCTGCTGTGAGAGTGAAATGAGCTTCAATATGAAGACACGCAGCTCCAGTGGGTTGGTCCTCTATTTTGACGATGAGGGGTTCTGTGACTTCCTGGAGCTGATCTTGACCCAAGGGGGGAGGCTTCAGCTCAGCTTCTCTATCTTCTGTGCTGAGCCTGCCACCCTGCTGACTGACACACCTGTCAATGACAACCTCTGGCACACAGTGGTCATCCGCCGCCATTTTAAGAACACGACACTGCTCATTGACCAGACCGAGGCAAAGTGGGTGGAAGTGAAGTCCAAGCGGCGTGACATGACTGTCTTCAGTGGCCTCTTCTTGGGTGGGCTCCCGCCCGAGCTGCGCTCAGCAACCCTGAAACTGACGCTTTCCTCGGTGAAGGACCGGGAGCCCTTCAAGGGCTGGATAACAGATGTCAGGGTCAACTATACACAGGCCTCACCTGTGGAGAGTCAGGAGGTGCGGCTGGATGATGAGCAGAGCCGCCTGTGCGCCAGGGATGATGTTTGCCTCAACGGTGGCATCTGCTCGGTGCTCAATGACCAGGCTGTCTGCGACTGCTCACAAACCGGCTTTCGGGGGAAGGACTGCAGTGAAGGTAAGACTTCACTTTAGCTTGACCTACCAACCACTCCCTTAATGGAGGGGAAAGGTAGCAGATAAAGACTGCATGGTGTTTCTTCCATAAGAGTGAATCTCTCTCTCTCGTCTGTACTTTCCCCCTCCCCACCTCATCCCTGACCCCTCTGTTATATCTCAACCCTCCCTCGATCATCCTCCAAGTGTTTCTGTGACAGAATATGGTGTGATTATTTTCTCCAAAGTTGGGAGAGAGAGGAAAGTGTAATCTGGGATTCTTTTTGAGCGAGGGTGTAATCTGGGGTTCTCTTTCATGGTAAACTAGGGTTGTTCCTGTTGATGGTGACCTGGGGTTATTTGTGGTGTGAGAGGGAGTAATATGGGGTATTCATGGTGGGGGAAAGGGGAAAGGGCAATCTGAGTTTACTCTTAAAAAGTGGGTAATGTAGAATTATACTTCGGTAGGGACCTTATTTGATTTTTGGTGGGTATAGCGGAGAAATTATCTGGGTTTAATTTTTGTTGGGGGTAGGGGAGGCCTGGATTTATTCATTCTCCATACTGGTATATTACATGCTTGAAGTAAAATCAGTGATTTATTTGTGAAATTCCTTAATTGATGAGAAAAGTTAAACAAGAGACTTATAGTTTGACACCAAGGGGAATGGCATAGTATTGTAATATGTTTAGCAATTCTAATGCCAGTCATGTAGACAGAGGGTAACAAGGGAAGTGGAAAATATTTACCCCACAGCTGGGAAATGATTGAATATTTATAACCAGTGAGAGAGCTAAGAAAAGGAGATGTTCCCTGGTTTCTCGCCTACAAATAAATCACTGAGGAAATGAGACTTATCTTCAGTGTCCATTATTATTGGGGATTTTGAAGCAATGTGAATATGTTTATTTTGCAAACATATCTAGAGCTTTTTAACAATACATTATTCTTAATTTTGCTAGTTCATGTGCAACTACTTAGCAGCTATGTAAAATGACACCGAATTTTTGTGTGTGTATCTAGAACAGAATTTAGGGGTATGTGAATGAGAATTATGAAAAATTATAGAATATATTAAAGGACATAATAAAACTTCATATCAAAATTTGAATGTAAAACATAAAAAGAAGGTAAAATAGGCATTATGTATCCCAAATGAAGGTGGTCATTGAGCAGTTTTATGACATTTATGGCTGAGTAATTTGCCTTTATCATTTCTATCAAATTTCACTTACCATAGAAAAGAAGAAAGCGTTATTTGTGGGTGATCTTTATTATGTAACACCTTTTGTTCTTAGTGTCAATACTTATACATACAGTCATTCTGCATCCTGTTTACTTTGTCAGCTGTTTATCTCTGCTCTGCCATTTGTTTGGGGAAAAAATCAAGTCTTTTTACATTTGTAAATATCATTACAATGAAAGAACAATAAAGGATAGTTTCACAGTTTAACAAACTTGTACCTTCACTAGCACATAATTCAAGACACTGTAGGATGAGAACATCTTCATACTGATCTAAATAATGTTCATATTTTTTTTGTATGTGGTACCAGATACCACTAGGCATGTATGAAATATTGAGGTTTCCTTGTTTCTGTAAATTAGGTCCTGTTATAAATCATGCAGAAAATAATCAAGTATTACAGTTTGGTTACTGCAACAATGGCAATTACAGATTGTTATAAGATTAATACATGAGAATACTCTATAAAAACAAATTATTTGGGCACACATTGCTCTTAACACCTCAAAGCAGTTTATTGAAATATTAATATAGATAAAACAATTACATGTAAAATCAACAGAAAGTGAAAAATCTCTTCTTTAAGTTAGGGAAGTAAAATGAAATAATGGCAGGTATTTTTAAAGGCAAACCATATTACTCTATTAATATTAGAAACAAATAAAAAACAATATATATTGCAAAATGTCTGATTAACACATATAATAGGAAACTATGTAGTAAATAGTATTTTGGAGCCCACCATTTGGGTGAAATCGTGGCCCCATTGAGGCCAATGGGAGTTCTGTCATTGACTTCAAAGGGGCTAGTATTTTACACATTATGTTTTGTAACCTCTAAGAAGCCTTATAAAATACACTTCTACCCCGATATAACGCGACCCTATATAACACAAATTCGGATATAACGCAGTAAAGCAGCGCTCCGGAGGGGCGGGGCTGCGCACTCCAATGGATCAAAGCAAGTTCGATATAACACGGTTTCACCTATAACGTGGTAAGATTTTTTGGCTCCCGAGGACAGCGTTATATCGGGGTTGAGGTGTACTCAGAAGAAATATAATTTTAGCATAATACATATGTGCTCAGTACTGAATAATTATATAGGACCAAATCCTGCTTCCATTGAAATAAAGGGCCAAATTCTCATTTACATCAGTGGGACAGGACTGGGCTTATCATTTTTATTTGTTAATTAACCACTCAGAAGCAAACCTGTCAGCTTTTGAGGAAGGAAATAGTGGCTGTTTGTATCCACTTTCAAAGATTTGAACTACTATGTAATTACCTTGTTTTTCTTATGAGAACTTAGATGGCACAGAAAATGGAGAGGGATAAGGTGATACCATTGTGCCATCAAATCCCTGCTATTGATCTTTACATTCTTTATTATCATGGCAATTATATCAATAACTTATTCTATTACCCAATAACTTTATTAAGGGTCAGATCTGGCATTTCTTGTGCATATGAGTTTCCCAGTGGGGTACTCTAGGAATGCAGAACTGGTACTTGGAATGGAGTGATATAGATGAATATTTTTACTTCTGTTTTACATTTTCATGTTTATTTGACTAGAGATAGTACACCCTCTTCTCACCTCCTTTGGCCTTACTCTTTTATCTGAAACTGTAACCAAACCTGTTCAGCTGCATTTTTTTTCCTGAGAAGGAAAAAAGTTCAGTAAATTTATTTTTCATTATTTTTCATTTTGTATACCTCTGCACCTTTGTATTCTGGCTCAGGCCAGAGATATATAATACAATGAGATATTTCTAGGCCATAGGAAAACAATAGTAACAGCTCTTTCAAAATTTCCATCCCTATTTTGCAGATTTGAGAGGTCTGGATGATTGCAATAATGATACCAACCCTGCAGTCCTTAGGATGGGATTTTTAATAGTACTTATGAGGTCTAAGAACTTTAAGAAAAAACTATTGACTTTGAATAGGTCAATTGGGAGTTAAGTGCCTAAATACCTTTGAAGATCTGGGCATTAGGCACTTTTGAAAATCCCATTTCTTAGTCTTTATTGAGGCAAAACTCCCATATAAGTACCAAATTCCACAAAGCCTTATTTGTGTGAGAAATCTTTAGTCAAATAAGTATTCCCATTGGGTTTGACTTCTCTAGGCCTTGCTGGTGTAGATCAGGAGTAGCTTCATTTAAGTCAATTGAGTTACACCAGTTTGTAAGTGAGAGGAAAATTAGATACATTGGATTCAATTGAATTACTTGCTTGAGTAAAGATTACTCATGGGAGTCAAGGTTACAGACTTAAGACCCCCGTCAGTAAGAGTTTTTGGCCAAGTCAGAACAAAAGGACAGAGTATAGACAGTATTGAGTCCAAGGGTTAGAAAGGCATTCAAACTTCCAGACATTTATCTGAACGGACCCAATCCTCCATACTTTTTAAAGTTGGCCCAATATTATCTGTAACCCCCAGTTTTAGCTTTAAAAACTTTGTGGCATGTTATTCCACATGTTTATTAATATTTTCAATATGGATTAGCTTTCTTATAGTGCTTTATCATAATTAGTAATATTTATGGCACTACACTCAAATAAAAAAAATACTATTGTGGAGCTCTTTGTCATGCCCCCAAATACTGCAAAGCTTCCAAAATGAAAACATGGAGTCAGTAGTGCCATAAGTGTACATGACATTAATTTTTGCTTTTATTGCATTTCTTATGCATTACACTGAAAATATGAGCTTGGGATATAATTTGCTACTGATATAGGCAAGGGAAATTTTATTTTACCTCATTGAAGTGGCTTGACACAAAGAACAATGTGCAAAATTAGATAAAAAACTTTATCTGAGGGATATGACTCAGGGTAAAAAATATTATAATGATGATACCAGTTTTCAAAGGCATTTCTGAGAACTATGAGAGGACTCTATTCAATACTAACAGTATGCAGTTTTGCATCGAGAAAAATTGGTGCATTTTAGTTCTGGGATTGGGGAAAACTATTCATCAGAAAGACTGGTCTTTAATATCTGGTTTTTGGTAAAGTGAATTAGGATCCTGGACAGCTACAGAGGAAAGAGAATTTATGTTCAAGAACTTTCATCTCATCCTTCCTATTTTGCTCCTTATTTTGGAAATTCATAACCTAGAATAAGAAAGCTTTTTAAAATATTGAATTAGTCTATCAAAACAGGAATTTTATTTAAATATATATGCAAAGCTAGAACAGTCCAATGTATCATTTAGTTCAGTATTCTGTCTCTGACAGTAGCCACTCCCAGATGCTAGTGAAGAAGGATGAAATAAAACAAACACATAATGCACCTAAATACTTTGCATTGGCAGAAATTTCCTGGTGACCTCAGGAAATGTTTATGCCCTTAAACTTTTTTAGTTATTTAATTACTAATGTAATCTTCATATATATGTCTTATTCTTTTTTTGAATATTGCTAATACTTTTGTCTCAGTCATATCCTGATGTGCTGAGTTCCAAACATAATTATTCTTTGGATTAAAACTTATTTTCTTTTAATATTCATTTTTAATTTTGACTGTCCTCTTGGTCTTCTGTTAAGGGAAAGAATAATTAATAATCATGTAGCCATTCATAGGAAGGGACATCCTCATGATTAGATCTTCAACAGTTGATTCCAGCTGTGGATTGTCATCTGTGGAGGTGATTTTTCAGTGATTCAAGCCCATATGGCTCAAACTAGCCAGCCTTTGGATTTTTTTGTTTATATTTGCAGTCTGTGTTTATATTTGTTTCTCCTTATTGGCCTGTTTTTAAAGTA